TTTGATGTTAGATATTGTCAAATAATCAGTTAACAATAGTGTTGGATCAGTACTTGTGGTAATATTCAAAAGATTTGATGTCTTTTTCATTGGCGATGGTTGTGATACAGATAAATTTTTAAATTGTACACTTGGTAAAGTATATGGCAACTGAATGGGATGATTGTCGGATACTTCTTTCGTTTGTATCGGTAATCGACGATGTTTCTTTTTGAAATGTTGTGCTTTACGAGTATGTTGCTGATGCTTTTGTTGAGATTTATTAACATTCATGATTGATATAAGTTATTTAAAATATCTGAAATGAAAATAAACAACATAGATCTGTTTAATAGAAATAGAACAAATACAGAAAATGAAAAAAACAACATGAATAATATACAAATAGTTTTGTTGTACAAATGAAATGAAGAGTTATTCTAGATAGCTTAACAATGTTCATTAGTCTTTGTTGCTGTTGTCAATGGTTTAATTTTGTTTTGGTTCTAAGAGAAAATTAAAAAAAAAACAGTGTAGAATTCGATAAAAATTCGTCATAGCTTACTTTTTCTAGTGGGTCTTTCAATAATGATAAAGATGGATGTTTTCGTGAAAGTTCGAACTCTATATTTGGATCGATTCGATGACCGACAACTAATCTAATATCCGCATAACTTGTATCCTTGAAGAAGCTATCGTGTATCATATGTATTTCTCGTGCTAAACCTTTGAGTCTTGCCTCGTGTGTAACATGTACAAAGAGATTGTTTTTGAATTTATTATTATTTCGCTTGACTGTTGCCTCCATGTTGTTTGTATTTCTTTGTGTAACATTTTGAGTATTTTGTATAAGATGAACAGCAGCTGCACTCGTTGCAAGTTGCGTTTGTTTAGCCGTCGGTTGAGTGTATAATTTTTGACGTAATGCAAAAAATTGACTTGGATTAGTAATCATAGGTATAAATGGCGAAGAAGATGATGACATATAGTCAGCAAAGAATTTTTGGAATTGTTGATTAATATAATTGGATGGATATCTAAAAGAAATTAATGATGTAATAGATCAAAAAATAAAAATAAAAAAAAAAGATGATTTACCTATTGTATAAGAACATTAAACGAATAGCACGTCGTTCGTTATTAAATACTTCAAATGATGATGAATATCGTACAGCTCTAGTGAGAGCCGTATGAATTACATTTTGAAATACATGTCGTGGATGATCGGATAAAAATGATACGACTGTTGGTTGAGTTGAAGGTTTATGATAGACCGATGATGCCAGAATACCATTGTTGTTCTTAACCAAAACATCGAGGAATGGAACACTTTTACCAATCTTATATTCTAATTTAATATTTGGATGAAAATTATTTGCTGCTTCTAATAATTCTTTCACCTTATCTTCTGATTGGTTACATGTAAAGAAAACATCATCAATATAACTACAATAAAAAAAAGAAAAACCTTTAAAAAATTTTAATTAATGCTATTAAAACTAAACACTCACCGGCCATATATCTCATGAGAACCTAATTTTGGTAAAATAGTTTGTCTTTCCCATTTCCACATGAAGATATTTGCTAATGTTAAAGTAAATGCTGATCCCATAGCACCACCAATCATTTGTCGATAAAATTTATTACCACAGACAAAAGCATTTGCTTGAAGTACCACACGAGCTAATTCAACAATAGTATCAATTGAAAGACCATTGACTCTTTCACAATTATGTACACGAAGAAATTCAGCAAGCATAGCTAATGATTCTTCTTGTGGTAACATTGTATAAACATTTGTAATATCGAATGTAATGAAAAGAGTCGATGCATTAAAATAAC